CTCTGTCCAAAGCACCTCGAGATTGAGCTTGCATTGCCCTAGAAAACATCGATTTTCGCATGTCCCTAAAAGTATGCCACCATTTTTGATTGTCTATCGCCAATTTAGTCGATACAACAACCAAATTTGTATCATTGGTGTGTGCGCATGCTAAAGAGAGTAGTAACCTGTATTGATAAACCAGGGCAAATGAAAAGACGTTTTAAATTTTTTGGAATTTATTTCTTGTGTTTTTATTGTATTTCATTGTTTTTGTTTGTTGATGTTTGTTTTTCATGTTTTACTTTACTGCTAAATAACTTTAAATGTTTTATTTTCTTTACCATATTCATTCATACATCTTCTGCTCAATCTTCAACTTGTTCTTCTTGTTACTTAGTTCTTGTTGTTTTTGTTTATTTTGCAACTGCAACAAAAATTCTGATGTTTGCTGTGCATCTTCTTTATTTATCATCTTTGCTCATCTTGTTCTTTACATGTATATAATAACTAAATTTGCTTTATAATAATAAATATAATAATAGTTAATAATGATTTGTTTATTAAATATTTTTAAAAAATGTTCGTTTTTTAGGAGTATAATTATCATCATCATTTTTATCATCATTTTCTCATTATCATCGTCATAATCGTTGCCAAACGTTCTGTAAACGAGTTACACTTCCCCTTTTTTATTCGAGTTCATTTTGTTCGTTTACACAGTGTCAATTCATGATTTCGTTAAGATTTCCAATTCGCTCATTGCATGACTGCAGCTTAATAACTATTATTTCAATTCATCATGGTTTTGTATATATGTATAGGTAATTGTATATACTAGTTCATTAATTAATATACATATATATATATATGTATATATACATATATTTAATAATAAGTATATATGTTAAATACAAAATAATACACACGCTATACTACGTTTGCATGTAATTAAAATCAAACTACAAAAATATACAATATATGAACACACAAAAAAAAATATACGAAAATGAAATATAAAACCAACAATAAACAACTTTTATGAATATCACAAAAAAAATCAAATAATAATATATATATATTTATAAGTGAATTAAATAAAACATAAGAAACTTATACAAAAACCTTGCTAACTTAAGTGTTAAACAAAATAGATCTTGGGACTACGTTTTGATGAAAACGCCAAGCCATAGAAAACATATAGAAAATTCGTTGATATCACCTGACAAAAATGAAGGACTACTTACAGTTAACATATACACATACACACGATTAGTATGTATAATAAAAGTATGTATGTATGTTATGTAAATGATTAATTACATTCAAGTAAATTATAATTAAAAATTATTTTTTATATGCACGCTTAAGTTTTTCACACCTAGTTATTTTTTAGTTTTCTTTCTTTTCTTTTCTTTTCTTTTCTTTTCATTTCTTTTTTTTTTAATTTTCATTTTTGTTTTTGTTTTTTGTTTTTTGTTTTTTGTTTTGTTTTGTAGTACAGTAAATTGTTTGTTTCTTTACGTTGCAACATTGATTCATTTTTTTGTTCTTTACTTTTCAATAAACACATCACATCATATTCACAATTAATAATCATAATAATCTAATATATATATATATATGTATATATATGTATGTATATTATGTATATATGTGTAAATATATAAACTAAAATTAACAATAATAACTATGACTTATGCTGAAAAAGACTACACCATTTTATTATTACATTTAATTATTATGGTTCCGCTATTATATTTATAAATATAATTCCTTTCAATTCAAATGCGCCATATACAAGCGTCATGTATTACATAAGTGTTAAGTGTTTTGCTGTATGTAATGTATGTATGTACGTATGTATATGTATAGTTGAACAAATTAAAAACTAGTTGTTTTATAATTAAAATTATTCAATATATATATGTATATATATATATATATATATATATATATATATATTTTTTTTTTTTTTTTAATGTTTAATATAAAGTATTTCTCAATCAATGTTCAAGTTCATGACGTTTGCTCGATAAAAACTTTAAGGCAAATAAAAGTTTCGTTCCTAGTTTACATCTTCGAGAGATTCTCGTTTTCTACACGCGTGTCACGCGACTCACGACTTACAACATTCGGGATGATCGTTGTGTAAACAAAAACAAAAAATTGGAGAATTACTTAACTAAACATCTTATATGATACACAGAATCTATGTTCATATTGTAGTAGTTTTTCATTTTTCATTTTTCATTTTACGTTTTGTTCCTTTTCAATCTTACTAACTATTCTTTTTATTTGTAGAACATTTATGTGTATTTCATTTTCATTACACAAAACTAGTTTTCTTTACTTTTGCCATTTTGCAGCTTATTGTTTTCCTCCAATTGTTTATTACATAAGTGTTAGTAACTGTTTAAAATGTTTTCGAGTTTAGTGTTGTGTAGTTTAAGTACCTACGAATATGCATTTATTTTTGTTTTAAAGTTTTGTGTGTGTGTGTGTGTGTGTGTTGGTTTTTGTTTTATTTATTTATAATTTGTTTGTTTGCTATTTAATTTGTGTTTTTAGTTTATATTTCTTTCTCGAGTATACAACTTGGCTTTATCGTTCCACATGCTGTTGATGGTGTTTTTTGTGGTTGCACATAGATTTAAGGTCTGCTTATAATGGACGGAAACTTATTAGGCATTTTTGTTGGAGTTCTTGTTGTTGTTTTAGGTTTCTATGGGTTTATTTCTATAAAACATTTGTTTAAGTTGTGTTTAGGCTTAAGAGTTGAAGAATAGAGTACTTAGTGTATGAGAGTATTTACTAGAAAGAGGGTATTTTGGATAAGATAATACAATATGATGAGGGATGCCGTCACTATATCTATGAAATAAGACAACGGAGAAAGGAAATCGATTGAAGCAAGAAATGTTGTGTCTAAATTAGAAAAAAAAAAACAAATTTCCGTATATTATAATCAGCCCTTAAATGTATATGTATATGTAAAGCATAAGTATTACGCTTAAAACATTGAACGATCTTAGCTTATGTTGATTATTTTTATTATTATTATTATTTTATCTTATTATTTATGTATATTTTGAGATTCTCTCGTTGCTAATTTATTTTAGTGTTTGTTTTATTTTAGTTTTTATTTTTAAATGTGTTGATTAATGGAACCAATTTTAAATTACTTTTTTTTTCATTTTGTTTGTTTTATATTTCAGAAACTTTTCTAATATTGATTGCTACTATTTAATATATAATTATATTAAATGTTCTTTTGTTTTTACCTTTATCCAGTTTTTTCTGCTTTACAAATAAATTGATGTCAATTCTCGTTCATTGTATAATGATTTTCTCATGTTTCTTTCGTCGTGTTTTTTGGTTTTTATTGATTTCTCTTATTATTTTTTATTTTTATTTTGTTTCTTTAAAAGATCACATTTCATGTTTTAGTTGCCTTTAGTAAATATATATATATAATTGTATATATATATATATATTTATTTATATATATATGTATATAAGTATATATTAATATATTCTTGTATTATACGTGTATATACATAAATATATGCATATACATATGTTGTATATATAATAAGTAGGTTTTCCGTTTGTTATTATTGTAATTGTAATGTTCTGTGTAGTGTTGTGTAGTATATTATAATTAATTAATATGTATCAAAAATTAAATTTATAAACTGTAAATCAAAATCAGTATGAAATTTGTAAGACCATTTTGTTTATATATAATATATTTATATGTATTTTAATGGTGTTTACGCTTACAAATTTATTATAGGAAGTACGTACGTTAATTTTTGTTAAATTTTTGTTTTCAAAAATGTTTCATAATAGAATCCTTGTTTTTTTTTTGTTGTGTTTGTCTTTGTGTGTGTTGTGGCTGAGAGAGTGTTGTATGAAATGTTTTCTTTTAATAATATTTCATTTTACTAGAGATTTCAGCTAAATTAATAATACACTTTTAAAAAATTTAGTTTTCAGTGTTTTTAGTTTTAATTTTTTTTTTGTTTAGTTTTATTTTTAAGTTTTGTTTTTTTACTTATGCAAAAATGCTTACGTTTTAGATTTGATTATTCATTTAGTTTTGTTTTGATGCTTCTTCTGATTCATCTTTTTGCTGATGCATTTTCGATTTCGAATTGTGTTGTAATTTGTATATAAAAAAATTTTTTTTTTTACGTTTTATTTATTTTTTATTTTTGCTGTAGTTGCTGATTCGCTTGTTCGTTTATAAAATGTAAAAAAGGAATATGGTTTTTTTTTTATTAAAAAAAAATCCTTTTGAAATCGTTTGCCATTCGCAATTCTTTTTCTCCGTTTGTGTTTTTTATTCTTCTGTTTTGTAGTAAATCGTTGTTGCAAAAATAGGACGTGACTGTACTTACATATTTTGTTTGTTTGTTGTTTTTTCTTTTATTTTATTTTTTTGTATTTGTGGTTGCTGCTTAACTATGGCCTATGAATTTCTCTCGTTTTGATTAATTTTGACTATTTTCCATGTAATTTGTTTGTTTATTGTTAGGCTTATCGACTTCTAATATTAACACTCCTTACTAATGTTTATTTTCAGTGTTATTTTAATATAATTATTACTTATTTATTTTTGCATTGAAATATGGAACACTAGAGTTTAAAATAGTTTGTAACTAATTTTAATGCAACTGCGTTTTCCCATTCTGGTTTTAAATATTTTTTAATTTTATCAAGTTCAATTTTTAATTGCTATTTTTAATGTTTCTCATTTAACAACACTAAACATTTTAATTTGTTTTGTTTTTTTTTTTTTTTTTTTTCTTTTGGTTTGTGGTTTTCTAATGTTGTAGAGTTCGTCACTCAATGTTTACTCTTTATGTATGTCAATTACTATGTGTAAATCTGATGCTTACAACACGCTTATGTTAAAGTCTTGCTATACGTACGAAAAAGTTCTGTAGAGTTCTCAATATATAATATTTTTTTTTTTGCTTTTAGTTGTTTTTATGTTTTTTTTTTATTTATTTATTTTATTTTTCATTTTCCCCATAATATATATGTTTGCTCTTGTAAATAGTTCATACCAACCTTTAATTTGCATCAAAATTGTATTCGAATTTTATTTATTGTATATTATATGTGTATGTGTGAGTGTTGTTGTTGTTGGTGTTGGGGTTTGGTTTTTAGATGCAGGAAGATGGTGCGGCTATTGTGGCCGGTGTAACGGTGATTGTGGTGGCTGGGAGTGCAGCCACTGTGGTTGCCACCACCGGATACTGATGACCCACAAATGCGTGTTGCTGGTGGTGCAGCAGGCTGTGATGTTGCTGCTGATGATGATGTTGCTGCTGCTGTGGCGGCGGCTGTGTCGAGTACTTTAGCACATGTTGCTGAGGCAGCGAGATGAAGGGCGTTGCCTGAATAGGTATACAGTTGGCATTGTAATCGCTGCTGAGCACCAAAGTGGGCGTACCATCCGTATAATAGGCGGGTGCCTTGAGATATGCCGTTGCCGGTGCGGCAGCAGCAGCAGCAGCATATTGTTGCTGCGGTGTTGGCATTGTTGCTGTCGACGTGGTTGACAGCGTGGTGGCAGACGATAAAGTTGGCGATGTGGCTATGGAACAGGACGAGGATGAGGATGCCGACGAGGGGGAATACGGTGAGCTGCAGTGATAGGTAATGTGTTGTGGCTGTTGCTGCTGCTGATACATGTTGCTGGCGTGGTGTGTTGCTGCAGCGACAGCTGCTTTATTCGCGTTGCTGTGATAGTAATTGGTGTTATTGTTATTGGTGGTGTGATAACTGTATTGCTGCTGCTGCTGCTGTTGTTGTTGTTGGTGTTGTTGTGGATGCTGTTGCTGATGCTGATGCGGCTCTATAATGATCAAATTGTTGTTGCTGTTGTTGTTGTAGCCAGCTGCAACAGCTGCTGCCGTTGTTGTTGCCACCTGCTGCTGCTGCTGTTGATCGCCGGGATTGGTGATCATGGCAGCCATTATATTTGCCGGCGGCAAGACAATCGGTATATGATAGTATTTACATTGCTTGCGGCGACACTGACTGTTGGCATGATCCCGACAGACAGCAACACGTTGATCAATCACCTCGACCTTGTCATCTATGTATAGAAAAAACGGCGTAAAAATAAGGAAAATTCAATTAGTAAGTGATAAATAACAATTAAACATGAGGATTTTATGTATTAGATAAACAGTGAAAGCAATTATAAAAATAATTGTTTTTTTTTTTACTTATTTATTGTTGTTCAAAAGCAGCTTTCTAAGTGTAGCCAAAGTTTTTTAATTACTCTTTGAAAACTTGACTTAAATGTGAAGAATATTGAAAATGTATACTCGATTTATTTTGGATTTGGTGCAAATGAAAACGAACTTGAGTTCAGATCTTGATCTTGTAATTAGAATCCTATAACTTCTGCTCGAAATGTAATTATTTATCCAAAAATGTAATTCATCCAATTCAGGTATTATAATATTATTTTTAAGTGTATTTTTGTGTGTGTAATTTCTTGGAATTTGGTAAAACCTAAAGAAAAACAGAAAAAAAAACAAGAAAGATCATCAAATTAAAACTGTAGCCAATTGAGCAAAAATAATAACATAAAACATAGTGTTTTATCTCTCATCAACTACGAAACGTATAATGGAATTTGTCATTTAACAATTGCTATAAGAGAAAAGCACTAAAAGCAACAAAACTATATTACTAAAACTAATTGCTATTAACTAAAAACTAATAAACTTAAGCACATGCACTTACCTTCAGTTAAATGAACGAATCTACAATTTAACCGACTGCACATAGATCTATTAAAATCTTGGCACACCGGGAGGGTGTCCAGTAACTATATAGAATTGTTTGTGTTTATTCGCATAAACAACATGATATTTATTGTTTTGTTTTGTTTTTTTTTTCGGGTATGGCAGGATGCAAACGTTTTAAATAAACCAATTGACAAAATAATAATTAAATTTGGTTGTAGTTGAATATTTTTTTTCAGGGTGTTTGTTTTTTTTTTGGGGGGGTTTTTCGGTTTTCGTTTGAAAAAAAGAGAAGAGCAGAAAAAGAAAAGAAAAAGAGCACAAATTAGTTATATTCTTATTATAATTATATGATACACTAGAATTGTTAATGGTTATTATTTTTATTACGCTTGGTGTACATTTTCTTTCTTTTTTTTTCTCAATGTTAGTCGCTGTTTAATATAATAGGTAACAGGGTTGTTCACTTCATAATAGAGTACATTAATCGTATGTTTAACTAGTTTTGTTGACTTAAATAATCTTAAAGGCATTAGGATAATAAATTATAAAATGGCGGCGCAAATGAATTCAAAAATTCTCGTTTTAATATATGTTTTTGTGAATGAATCCTGAAAATGGATGTCGTGTATATAAGTTTATGTTCTAGAGTTTCTAGAGATGTGTTGTAGCGTGAAGTTCCGAGTCATTAACTTTATGGTATTATAAAAAAAAAAATATGTATAAATTTATTGATCTTGATTCGGAAAAACTTAAATGCTAAGCTTTAACATAAAGTTTGCCACAAAAGCTTTAGAGAATTATATAAATCAATGTGGAAATAAAACACCTTTAAAGCAGCAAGTATATTGGACAACTAAAACTTAGCTAACGGTATGGAGAAGCCAAGAAGCTTTCAAGCACAGCATATATAGAGATGCAGAGTGTAAGAGAGAGAGAGAGAGAGACAGAGTAGGAGAGCGAGAAAGAGCTATTGGTCTATAACACTCACTTTTTGATAAGGTTCAGAACGCGCCTTAGTTACGACATATATATATATATACTATATAAATATATATATATGCATTTATACGATATATATAATACAAGAAAAGATTTTGTCATTTTGATTGTTTGCTAAAGTTTTAGTGGGCTGTATAATGCAGTAACAGTTACATATCCTAATAGGCGGCACTAGAAATATAAGAAAAAGAGAGAAAAGAGAGAGAGAGAGAGAGAGAGAAAGAACGTAATACATACGCAAGGTTAATTTGTATACCATAAATAAGTCGCCTGTGATTATGATTTTTCAATATTTTCAAGGAAACAGTCAACAACAAATTTTTTTAATAGTTATAACAAAAAAAAATGCAAGAGACAAAAAACTAAATCAAATCATAAATATTGACTTTGAGTAGCGGGCAAAAGCTGCTAAGCTGAAACTGAAATTCAAAAGCTTTAAGGCTTACATACAGCGATCACTTTAAAAGCACACGAAAGCTGAAAGCTCAATTTTCTAGGTATGCGATACTATTTTTGATTAAGTATGAAGTAAAAAGTGTCTCTAAGCACACAAATTTTGGGTGGAAATGCAACACACATAAACAGAGAGAGAGAGAGAGAGAGCGAGAGCAAGAGAGTGTGTGTGTGTGTGAGAGAGAGAGAGAGATTGAAAGAGAAGGGGAGTATTGTAAACGTATAAGATTATAAATTTACTTGGCCGCTCTTTACCTAATTATGTAAAATGTGCCGTTCATTAGCATAGGACACTGAGTGTATAATACGCCCCGTTCCGGCTGGGCTGTTTGTAGGGTATATCAAATAGAGAGAACATTGATTACGGATTAGCCATGAGAAAGTACGTAGAGTTATGTGTCTATAAGGTGGTTACAATAAGTATTTAGTTTTGATTTTTTTTTTATATTATTTTTTTTTTTGGTTTCTATTTTAGCTTAATGCTTTTGCTGTTGTCTTCAGCAAATATTGACACCAGGTGTTTCGTGTGTGACTGTGTGTGTGTGTGCATTGGTGTGGATGTGGGTGTGTGGGTGTGTGTCTGTGTGTGTGTGTTGTGTGGTCGTGTCCCTGTGTGCGTATTGGGTCAGACAATTGTGCAAACAGCAGCTAACAGCTCTGACACTCAAAGGTGTGTCCATCTTGTATGTCCTAGGCGCTGACATCATCGCTGACAACGTTGGCAACGCCTTCAAAATGGCCGTCGACACTTGTTCATCGTTGTTGTTGTTGTTGCTGTTATTGTTGGCGTTGCTGTTGTCGTGGTCGTTGTCCCTTGGGGCGCGGCAGCGCATTTAATTTGATTAACCCAATTCACGCAGGGAGTGTTGATATGTGTGCCACTGTGTACCCTTCTTTAGCAAACAGGTTCCTAACATTTTGACATGATGTTGATCATATTTGCTTACAGTTCTTATAAATATTGGAGAAACTTTAACTAAAATCGGACTAGTTCATTACAAGGGTATCAGTGCAAGCCGAAAGCCGTTCTCTTTTAAATACCTTACTTTATATAGATATATATATGTAAAAATATACATTTAACAATGAATTTTGACACTTGACACTAGAATATTATAAAATACTTGCTGCTCTAATTGTGTTTTTATTTCTAAAAAAGATTTGAAACATAAAATTACAATTTGTATCACTAAAATGGATGTTTTCTTGCCTTTTGGAAACAGAACTTAGAACTAAAATTATCGATAATATGTTAAATATAAAATGAAAGCGCTCAGCACGCTAACATGCAGTAAAGCTTGTTGATGCATTAACATGCTGTTAACAGTATGTTAACATTTGGAAGCATTAATCCAGGGACTGTAAGACTGTACCTGTCCACTGGCATCGGTGTAGATGACACAGGAAGCATTTAGAGGTGGTATTTTAGTGTTTGCTATTTAATTAACAACAATCGATAGTCAGAAAGCCGGCAAAACATGCAATTTGCATTTGCGCGCCACATTAAATTTTAAATGATATATTTAGTGTACAAAATATGCGTGTGATGAATATGCGATTGCAAAGAGTAGAAAAATAGATGTGAACAAAAAATATATATTGATTGAGTTTTGTAGGTGGGGTTGTTTTTATTATTTTATTTTTGGTAATTGCAGTTTGTTCAATGTTGTTATCCCATGCAGCGTTTCATGTGTGTGTGTGTGTGTATTTAGTGTTTATTTGGTTTCAATATTTGGTTGCAATTTGCCATTTAAATCCCAATCCGTGCGAGTTGTTTTCGTTTTGTTTCATTCATCGAAAGTATAAAGTTTTTGTTGCATGCAAATTAAGTCATAATTTTTTTGTTTTTTGTTTTTTTTTTGGCACGTTTATGTTAGCATGTAAAAGGAAAAGAGTATGAAATTAGTAGAAATTAAGAATTTAAGTATATTATGCATGTATGTATATTGATAAATTGTGTTAAATAAAATATTAATTAGTTTGCTTTATATATTAAATGGCAGAGGCTTAACATAAGCTTATGTTGCATTTGCGATGCATCAAAAACTATGCGGTAAACATGTGTGAAGTATTCAAATAAATATTAATAAATATGCAACGCTAATAGCATATCAAAATAATTATATTTAAATGCTGATGGTTAAGCATTACTTAACGCCGTTTAAAAGCTACAAATCGTTGACTTTAATGTGAAATTTATTCTGTTTACACTTCCATATAACTTCTAGCCTATTCTTCAGCCCAACCCATACCATACTCTAATTTGGCACTCAACTGTGCCTTAATTACTTGTAAATTTAATTTTATGCAAATTTCACAGACGCCCAAACAAAAAACCACACAAAAACACGAGTTAATAAATGTAAATTAATGGCACACCCTGCGCCATGTACGCCCCTTTTTGTGTGCTGCAATTAAGCTTCACTTTTTTATGCTGTACTCATTTAAGACTCTTTTAACTTGTTGCTTGCTGACACATTAAAAAAAAACAAAACAAAACAAAAAAGAAAGTTGCGCCACAACTTTTTTGCTGAAAACTGACAATTTTTGCTACATCGCATATGCAAAATGCGGAAACGCACTTAAAACTAAAATAAACTATTTAAAATATATGCAATACATGAGTTTGTAAGCTGTAAGCATATTAGTAAAGTGTTGATAATTTGGGAAGCATCTATGTAAAAGCCATGTTAGCTGTTTAGCAAAGCTGTAAAAAAAAAACTTGTAATTATATTTGTATCAACGAAAAGCAGCGCGCAAAAGCCATTAAAGCATAAAAAGGCCAGCAACTGAAATAAGAAAGAATATGGCATCAAATAAATATATATATATAAATAAATCAGCTTTTTGGGGGGGGGGCAAACAAAAATGTAAATTATAAGTACAGCACACGGCAGCAAATATTGTATATTGAAGCGTATTTTTTGTATTTAAATTTGTTACTGGCGCAGCAGCTGTAATTAAAAAACAAACAGACAATATGTAATACGTATTTAAGTATTGGTTATAATTTCTATAAATATGAATATGTAGTTAGTTCAGTAAAGCGCTCGAGGCAAATTGCTCAGACAAGACACGCACACAAAAAAAAAAAACACAAAAATGTATATATTAAAAACATAAACAATGCGAATACTTACTACATTAAGTACATACAAACAAGCCTGCAAAGGTCGATCAAATATAAGTACAGAGATTTGTATATAATATATATAAATATATATATTTATAGTTCATATAGTTACGCTGCCTGGCATATGTGTGTGTGTGTGTGTGTGTGCGTATATATATGTATTTTTGTAGATGCGCGCTGAAAAGTAGGCTACGATTTTATTTATTTAATTCCGGCACATGTCATAAGTGAAGTAATACTTAAAACGCATCTGATGGGCAGCTCAAGTGTGTATGTGTGTGTGTGTGTGTGTTTGTATTTATATGTGTTGTGTATATGTGTATATGTGTGTGTGTGTGTGTGTGTAGTATGTGTTTATCTATTTAATTTTGTTCTTAAAGCTTTTGGCGTTGTTGCCTGTTAGGCATTCAAATTATATGGAATTTTCTGACGGCTAAATGGCTCAATGTGTTGATGTTGTTGTTGTTGTTGTTGCTGTTGTTGTTGTTTTCGTTGTGTGTGCATGTATTTGTTTTTTGGTTAACATATGTAGTTTCTTTTTGATCAGCATACAGTCATACATTTAATACTTTTGTGTAATCCTGCAGATACATAAAAAAGAAAGAACAAAACTGTGTGTTGCATATGGAAAAAGAAAAGGAGTCATGTTAATAACATTGCTTGCAACAGATTTACCAGAAAATTTGATCATGTTTGGCAACGTCAGTTAAAGAAAGCAGAGAGCACATTATTTATATTATATTTAATTTGATTAACTATACAGTAACAATAACAATAACAGAAAATTGTAGAAAAGGCACATTCATTTCCAAATGCATTAACAATTATGAATAAATTCATTTTATTTAAGGAATAACTCCCTCTTAACTTAAAGCAATAAGTTCTTATTGTTGATTAGCTAACAGTCTTGTTTTCAAGTACAGCTCTCTGATTTCTTTAGACTTTCGGCAAAACGAACTCAAAATAGCTACAAACCAAAACAAAAAAAAAACACATGATATATGTATACTTAGCGACTAATTACTAATATTTAACATAGGGTTGTTTTTTTGTTTTTTGAATAAGAGTATAAATACGTAAGTATATAACAGAAGCTCATTTGGGCAGTGCACCAGCTTACCTTAGAAGTGCGTTTTTAGCTTATACGAGTATTGTAGCTCATTTATTACCATCATACCACATGCCTGAGAAGCCAAATACGAGTATTTTAAACAAACGGTAATGTATTTAGCGGGTACTTCGCAATTTCAATCACAGTTAGCATGAGAGTGACAGCCAGACTTGCAACTTCAAATGTTGTCGTACGGGTTTTTTTTTTCTTTTTTGGGTTTTCATTTCTTTTTTGTTTTTGTTTCTTTTTTTTTTTTTTTTTTGATACTGATTTTTCGACTTGTTACTTGCTACGAAAAGTTCTTGTTTCATTGAGCACATGCTGAAAAATTACAATACAATACGCTCCAAAAGAAAATTGGAAAAAATGATAAGAGAGAACAGAACAACATGAGAGATATACGTAACAATTAGAAGAGAAGAACGTACTTCCCACTAGAGAAGGGCGATATACGAGTGTTACGTAACAGCAAAATATTTATATATGTATATATATATATAGATATATATATATATAGAGAGAGAGAGAGAGAGAGAGACAGACTTAGAAAGGCACAATAGAGTGGGGGACTTTTGAAAAGATTACTGCATTGTGTGTGAGTTTTTTAGTATTTTTGTGTGTGTGGAAACTCGATGGAAACTTTTGTAATGCATTCAAAGAAAGGCTAACAATTGCAAACTTCTCATCATAATAAATTTGATTTAGTATCATATGGTTTTACTTTTGTAATACTTTTGAAGTTGTGGTTCCTCCTTAGACGGAAATCATGCAAGAGGTTTGTTTGTGAGCATGACACGTCGGACATGAATTACTAAGGTGAGTACTGAGAGTTAGAGAATAGAAAAAAGTGTTACATGGATGAAAATTAAGACGGAGATTAAAAGAGAGCAAAATGTTAGCAAAATCAAAAATGACATGTTTTTAAAGCGTTTCTTTGATACATTACAAAAGCGCTTAACTCTAGAGTATATATATATATATATAGGCATATATATGTAATTATATTATGGTTCCATACACATAAACTAAGTCTTAAGTTTCATTAAAGCAATACAGTAATATTTTCAGTTACAAACAGAAAGAAACCATGAAGTACGAGTACTTTTTAGAGTACCAGCTCGAGCAAGCCAAGTGTGGAGAACGAGTACTACGAGTACTATCTGGGTGTATGTGTGTTTTTTATGTGTCTGTGTATATCGATTAGAAATTAAAGAGTCGAGCAGAGAGCACATTGATATACGTCTAACATATACCAGTGAATTTGGAAAAGCACATGGAAATCAAAAGAAAAATGTTGAAAAGCTTTCAAAATGAGCAGCAAAATAGAAAAAGGACTAAGATTAAACAAAAAATAATTATGTTCAGGGAATGTGAAACAAACACATTATGCAGGCAAATAATAATCTCATAAATAGCAAATTATAATACAAGAAAACATATTCAATATAAATGTTGGACAACGCACAGCAAAAACTTTTTGATATTAGTAGTGAGAAAGAGAGAGAGAGAGAGAGAGACATAGAGCGAGAGAGAGAAAATGTACGCAGAATATTATTAGTGTTAAGTTTGCCATTTAGCACTTTCCAGGTTTTGAGTTAAGTAAAAAAAGCAACAAGTTTTTACGGTTTTTACAATAAAACGTTTATATAATTTTCAATATATATTTTTGTTAATTTCTGTATTCTTCTCATTTTGTGTATTAGTTTTCTTGTTTTATTATTTTATAATAACGCATAGTTAATAAGACTAATTTTCTTTTCTTTTTTTTTTTTGTATAGCACATAGAACATATTCATCAAAGTGTTTGCTTGTATTGGTTGGTTTGTGTATAAGTTGTGTATAAATTAGATATATATATATATAAGTATATAGATTTCTTTTTATATTTTATTATCAAACAATTTTGTTTTTGTTCTCATATGTTTTTTTTTTTTTTTTGTTTATCAAATGTTACCAACTTAGATTTCTCTTTGCTCAACATACATGCAATTAGTTTACTTAGATACACTGAAATTTCTTGCTTGTTCACTTTTTTATTAATATTTTTTTTTTATATATATCTATAGTGTTAGCGCTAAGAAAAGAAAAAGAGAAATGCAAAATGAAAGTGAGACATCATTTTCGGATGCGATTTAAAGCCATACATTAGTTTAAAAATTGTTTGTTGATGTAAGTTGTATTCTTTTTTCTCAGTGTGGTGTTGTATGTTTTGCTTTTGTTTCACTTTAATGTTTGGTGTACTTTACAAAAACGGTGCATTTATTTTACTTCCTATGTTTTTTATTATTATTTTTTTTTTGGACTTTTCTCATCTACAAAATATAAGTTTCAAGTCTATTTTCAATTGTGGCTGTGCGCTTTCTACGCTACATGTTCTTTATTATTTGGACGGTACTGTTCTTGCTAACATATATTGGACTATGAATGGGCGCAAGATCTAAGGTAGTAACGACTGTACGGAGCTGCAAGGGCTCTAAAAATGTTCATACAAAATTGAACTTGGTTCGAAATCAGCCAAATAGTGAATATATTATGACTATATATCCCTTACATCATTTCGATGTGATCTTATTGTTTGTTGCACTGTTTACTCGCTGTTAACTTAATGTTGATGTCTAGAATTAGTTTGTGTGCTTGTTTTTTTTTCACTATTGAAGCGGAATTGAAAATTTTGTTTTTTTTTTAAATTGTGCAGTTGGCAATTAATGAAGATAAAAGAAAGCAAAAACATTTGTTTACGTGTAAAAATAATAATTATTATTAGTTCTAAGTCATATTTAGAGTATATAGTTTTGTTTTACTCTTGCAGGCTGCGTCGCGCGCTTTGAACATGCAGCTGTGAGGTGTGTTATGTGAATTTGTTGTTAATAATAATACTATAATTATTATTTGTTTTTTTTTTTAACTAGTATCGCATCTGCAAAACATGTTTGGCGCAGAGATCTCTAAGATTTTCTTCTTGATATTGATCAAACAGCAACAATTCTACAATGTTAACGAAAAACATACGACAGCTAGAGAACTGGACATACATAGATTATTAATATGTAATATACTTTTAGCAAGACAATTATCAATAGTTTGTTGTATTGTATTTTATGTTTTTTTTTTGGGTTTTTTTTTTTTGCTTGTCAGTTTGCATAGTTTTTGCATTTTAGTAAGCAACTTTCTTATCATTAGGTATGTAAGTATATCAGTAAGTAGTAAGCCTGCCACAAGTCAAGCAATAATAGTTTTATATGTATATAGGCATATTGTTTGTCAGATTTTACAGCTAATTTCTACCATTAGAACGAAATAGTATTTGGTTAGCGTACTCAGTTTTTGCTTGCCATTATATTCTAAGAGTTAAACATAGAGAGATACTGTTTTTCTTTTTCTTTTTTTTTTTTTTTGTAGGGCAATTAATATAAAGCGAAAAGTTTGGAAGCGTTTTACAGACACTCAGGCATATAGAGAGAATGGGTTGGTTTTTTTGTTGGACAGTTTGGGGTAAGGTTGTTGGGAGAGGTTGTTAGAGAGAGAGAGTAGGCAAAGGCAAAGGCTACACGAAGCTTGAACATAAAACTAAGGAGATAAAGCTAAGGAAAAGTGCTGCTCTGCCGAAAAGCGCGGCATGTGAAAATGCTTGGCATGGTGGCATATGTGGCGTATGTGGCATATGTGGCGTATGTGTCGTTGAGTGAGTTTTCTTTAAGAAAGGGTCTTAAATATATATATATATGTATATATATATATATGATAAATAAGTAAAATAAGTGTAGAAAGCGGCACAACAGAAAGAAAAAGAACAATATAATTGAATACCAAAAATAAATAAATACCAACACACAATAAAGTAGTTTTTGTTTCTGTTTCGTAAGGTTCAAACTATATATTTTAAAATATAAAACACACACGATATTTCCAAAAATAAACAATAATCAATGAACTATCGACAAACTAAATTAGAATTAGTGGCAAACATTAAATCGTCATTAAATATTAGAATTATTTTTTGTTGTTGTTGCTGATGTAACGTAAATTAAAACAAAATTTCACAGAGACTATAAGTACATATATATATATATGTATGTGTGTTTATGTATACGTATATCATAATAATAATAGTATTTAAGTGTTGTAATTGAACAACTTCGAGCGCCAGGAGCGTTAAAAAGATGTGGCTTAGACTTAAAAAGTGCGCAAGTCTGTGGCAAATTGTTTTTTTCTTCTCTTTTTTTTTTTTTAATATTTTTTTAAGTACATCCCTATTTTAAGGAGGAAACACATAAGAATATAAACGTAAAAGTAGCTACACTTAAGAAGGTATTGTATAATTGTCAGTACATAAATTATATAACGTAAAAAATTACATAGAAAAACATAAAGAAAATTACACGAGATCTAAGATTATAAAAACAAAGTTCTTTTGTCATCGATTTTATTTTATAAACATACATCTTGTATATCGTATATATATATATATATAGATAAGTTATATAAAAAAACATGTATAATACATCGAGAGCAAGAGATAGAGAGAGAGAGATAAGTATATATAGGAAAAAACAAAAAGTTTTACATAGTTTTGTTTTTTATTTGTCAACATAGGATTCAAATCTGAACATAACATTAATATTAATATAACATAACATAATTTTGATGGCTTAACAGTTTTGAATGTGATTTTAAGGTGTGGATGTATGTGTTTGTCTGTGTTAGAGCGAAACGCATATATAGAGAGACACGTGAGTTATGATTTGTGATATTTAAGATATTTTGACGTTGATATCGGTTTTGATTAGTAAGAGCGCTTTATAGCTAGAGAGTGTAAGAGTGTGTGTGTGTGTGTGTGAGTGTGTGTGAGTGTGTGTGAGTGTCGTGAGTGAGTAAGTGACAATGATAGCCAAACGATTTACAGATTAAACTTCGTCATAACTTCTTAAGAGTGTGGATTGGTTTGTAAGGTATTGGATTATTTGGGGGTGTTATTGATTGGGTGAGTATGTGTGCAAACAGCTAGAGTACATAGTGTTGATGTTTGTATATATATCGTAAGTATATATATTATTTAGCAGCATACAGCATGTTTTGTATTCTATATATATGTAGGTATATATATATATATGTATATATATGTTGGTATATTTAATAGGTATATTCTATAACTAGGCAATATATATATTCGTTACGCATGTTCGTTGCTCAACAATTTTAAACAATTAAAATTACAACAGCATTCACGATAGCTAACTAACTAGTAGCTAACTAGTGGAAGAGAGACAACTCTAGATAGAAACAGAGACAGACACGAATAATAGAAAGAGATAGCAACGATCGCTTGAATCGCAATTAAAAGCATTTCCAACAACAAGCGCAGACACAACTGTACCTAGCAGCAGCAGCAGCAAAATGGTTTTAGTTTAGTTTCTTTCTTTTCCGTCTTTCCGTCTTTATGGCATATATATATATATATGTATTTTATAGGAACGACCAACTGACTGACTTGTATGGGAGGCGAGAAGCTTTTTCTTGTGTGTGTATTTGTCGGTTTTTTTTTTATTTATTTTGTATTGTGCAAAGCTATCACAGTACTTTGTTTATACCAAGTTGCAGTTTTTCGTTACCAATTCCATTTCTGTTTTATCAGATCTTGTGTGTATATTTAAGTTAAAGGCTCTCACTATCGCTATCAAAAAGGAACTTAACTTAAAAACTATCTAATAAAAAAGTATCCGTTTTGTTTTTGTTTTTGTTTTTGCTTTAAAAGCATCGTTTCTTATGTAAGCCTATGCTATGAAAATGGCAACAGCTCAAGTCACAGTGAGGTTATGTTTTGTGTATACCTTTTTTGTTATTTTTTATGTTTGTTATTGCGTCTAATTAACAAAATAAAATTTCAATTTAAAAGACCTAAGAAAAATTTGATATACTACTGATTGCAAGCGCGGGCTTAAAAACTGCATTCGAGCATCGTTTTTTTTTTTTTTTTGTTGTTTTGTGTGTGTTAGTTTGCAAGGGAGGCAAGAGGATCGCTGGGCAAGTAGCTTTTAAGCAGATTATTATTGCACTCGATGAAAGCAAAGTGAAAGCTTTCAAAGTGTTTCGAAAAGCTGTGTGGCATAGGCAAAGCTTTAAGCACATTTTTACCAGACATTGCAAAAAAAGTAAAAAAAGAAAAACATCTTTCAAAAAATTGTTTTTTGTGTAAATTTCAGATTTGTCATGGTGCTGATTATTTGTCTTGTAAATTGATGACGCACTAAATGTAATATGCTAACTATACGAGACCCTAGAGTAATAAATTAAGTAAAAACTGAGGCACATAATCTTACGTCTTCGTTGTGTACTACAAGCTATATAGTTACGACTAAAAAATGACTGTACCAACCAGGCTCTATTTTTTAAGTACAGTTGCGTTCGAGTCTCTCTGTGTGTGTGTGTTTTTTTTTATTTTTCTCTTTTATATAGTGACTGCTTAGGAGGTTTTCATTTTCTTGTATGGGTTAAGGACCATGGCGCTGCTCTGTGCACCACCCTGTGCAGCAACTGCTGCAGCTGCAGCTGCAGCATACTGTTGAGCGGCAGCAGCTGCCTGACTGCTGGGCATGGCATAAGTTGCTTGTGCTGTCGGCTGTGCCGTCATCATGCCCGGATAAAAGTAGCCCTGAGCAGCAGCTGCTGCTGCAGCGGCAGCATATTGCTGTTGCTGCTGACTGGCAGCCATTTGCTGAGCGGTGCTGGGTGCACGCAGCAGCGAATAACCGGCAGCACTACCGGCACGAACCGGAGTACCGGGTGCAACAGGCGTTGACAGACCCGAGCTGTATTGGCGCAACTGCGCCTGAGCCTGGGCCTGAGCTTGAGCTTGCGCCTGAGCTTGTGCCTGAGCTTGAGCTTGTGCTTGGGCTTGGGCTTGAGCCTGCATTTGTATAATTTGTGCCATGGAAAGGGACTGTTGCTGTGTCGGCTGCTGTTGCTGTTGGGGTTGCGGCACCGGTTGCGGTACTGCTGTCATATAATTCTTGTTTAAAGTCATGCCCGTGTAGGCTGCCGCTGAGGCAGCGGTAACTGGCTTAGCCGCAGCACTGGCGACCTTTAAGGCGTAATTCTTCTGTGCCACCTCCTTGGCCAAGGCGGCAGGATCGGTATAGTAACTAGTTGCTGGCGTAAGCCTGCTGCTGCGGCATATGCCGCATAAGCTGCTGTGCATAAGCAGCCTGAGCCTGAGCTTGGGCCTGAGCGTGAGCCTGCGCTTGTGCCTGAGCTTGAGCAACCTGTTGTTGCTGCTGCTGATGTTGCTGTTGTGCTTGCACATAGCTATTCTGTACATTGCTGCTGGCCATGCTAACAATGGGCGTCGCATTTGTATAGCCACTATATAAATTAGCATAGCTGTAAGCGGGCATTGCGTAACTGAGACGCTGATATTGCGTCACAGAAGAGGCCGCTGTGGTGGCAACATTAGCGGGGGAGCAACTGTTGCTGTTGCTGGTGGGTGTGGGCAGAATGCCGCCATTGTGATAGCGCTGATATGCATCGGTGCCATTTTGTTTGGGCGCTGCATAGCTGCGAATGGGCATTGCCTGTGAGTAGGCAGGCGCAACAGCAATGGAATCGGCATCAACTGTTGCTGTTGCTGCTGCTGCTGCTGCACTGGCAGCAATTGTGTTGCTAGAATTGCTATGATTACTGTGATTGCTGCTGTTGCTATTGTTGCTATTCTCTGCATCGTTGGGCAGCTCATCGCCATTTAAGGATTTTAAATTGTTGTTAATATAGGGTATATAGTTGTTGTTGTCATTGCCATTATGTGGCAGAGTCAGGGTCTCACCCAGAAGCGAGGGGGGGCTAGCGCTACCATTTGTTGGGGGCGTGATGGATGTGTCATGTGTTGCTGTTGCCGCATCATTAGCTGTTGCAGTGTCTGCTGTTGCTGTAATTGTTTGTGTTGCATCACAATCGTTTGCAGTGTTTGTTGTTGATGTTGTGGTTGCTGTTGTTGTGTTTGTTTGTGTTGCTGTTGTTGTGTCATTATTATTATTTTCTGGATCATGATTGGCATCATAATCGTTAGCTAGCACTTGGTTATCATGATTATTATTATGATTAGTAGCTGTTGTTGTTGTTGTTATTGTTGTTGGTGTTGTTGTTGGTGTATTTGTATTTGTATTTGTATTTGTAATTGTATTTGTATCTGTATTGGTAGTCATAGCAGTTACAGTTACAGCATTATTATTATTATTACTGGCTGTTGTTGCTGCTGTTGTTGTTGTTGTTGTTATGGCGCTACTTATTGCAACATGTGGTTGTTGTTGTTGTTGTTGTAGTTGTTGTTGTTGTGGGGGATACTCACATGACACTGGCACGTAGGGCTGCATTAATTGTTGATAGGTTGTCGCACCGGGTTGATACACTGGAATGCCAGACTTTTCGGCAGCTGGACGTTTAAACGGTACCATGCCAGAGAATTGCTAAAGGACAACAAATAGATGACAAAAAAGAGGAAGAGAACAAAATGCAGTTGGATTAATAAACATGTTTACAAGAACTACAACTCATTTAGTATAAGTATATATATATGTGTGACTAGCTTAATTTGCACTCTAACCATACATATAGTATATATATAAATATATATATATATGTATATATATATAGAATAATGATATATATAAGTAGCTTACAAACGAGCTCAAGTGGGGAAATTTTGTTGTTTTTCTTTTTCAATTTATATATATTCTTTAGTTATAGTCATGAAACTTTTGCCAATGTGTGTTATCCAATAATAATCCGAAAATATTAAATTGAATCAAAAACAAAAGAAGTAAGAAAATAAAATGATTTAACTAAGGAAAATATTGTTCAATACTTTTGCAAATGGCAACGAAAACATATTTTTTTGCGTGCATTTATTTCATGAGCAAGCTTTTAATGTGCTTTATCGAGAAAAGCTACAAAAGCTTGGCTCCTCTAACGATTAAAGCATGTGATAGATATGGTGGTTATGTATGTGAGTGTGTGAGTGTGTGGAGGGAATTGTTACAGCAAAAATCAGCTAATTTCTTCAAATTAAACGAAACAGTCGCCAATATATATGTTTTTTTCTTGGTTGTACATATTGAGTTAATTTGCGTTTAAAGCTGGTTTAATGCTGAATCAATTTATTGAACCGATTGTGTGCAATTTTTTTAACCGATAAATTGTTGGCTTATATGTTTTAAATTTATGTTCTTTTTTAGTTTATATGAATTTTAGTTATTTTTGTGTATGTATTTTATAAATTTTGACTTGTATACATGCATTATTATTTAACAAACTCTTTTCAATTAATGAGCTGTATTTCTTGAAGTTGAAATTGAATTGAAACTAATTTGAGAACTTCTATTGAATGGTTTGCAGCAATAGTTAAGAAACACAGCTAATTAATATATCTTTTTAGTAATAGTGTTTGAGTTTTCTTTTGCAATAGTGTTTTTTTTTTCTTTCTTTATATATGTAGTATATTTTGTAATACTGGATGGATAGTTGTTCATTTTTTTTTTGTATGTTACGATTGATTGTTTCTATCTTTTGGAGGTACTTACGAAGTTTTCATAGTAAAATGAACCAACCGTTTTAACATCCATCTTTTTGGTAATTGTGCACATTTATGGTTATTATTTGTTATCATTATTGTTATATTTGTATTTTCATTTATGATCGCAATTCAGTATTAGTATTTGTTTCATTACAATGGTTTATTCATGATTAAAATTTGATGATTCGTATTTGTTGATTGATGAAATTTTTTGAAGTTGTTGTTGTTGTTGTTTTTTTTTTTTATATATTTCGGAATTGGGTTAGCAGACATTTGTTGTTGTTGTTGTTGTAGTAGTTGTTGTTGATCGATGATTTGGTACATTTAGATACATATACTCCGATATATGCGATAATTGATTTATTTTGAATTGTTGGCAACAAGTAACATAGAGAGACAGAAAATAAAAAAGTCGAATCGAAAACAAAAACGAAGAAGAGAGAGAACACAAATGAAATTAGTGAATATATTCAGCAGAAATATACAAAATACAAAAATGGTTTTTATATATGTATTAGCAATAAGTTAGATGTATATATATATATTTATACTTAGACGCTAGCGTGATGTGAATGAGTGATAAATCGTAAACCTAATCTCTAGGTTTAATATAATAATAAAAATACATACAATATAATACAATACAATACAATACAATACATAATAAGGTTAAGAGCAGACAGTTGGCCAAGACGTAAGGTTAAAACAAAATGCGCAGAAAGCCAAGCAAAATTTTTGGCTAACAAGCCGCAATCGGTATGTAGCAGCTAATTAACCTGGAAATGCACTTAAGCACTTAAGCAATTAAGCGGCGGCACCAGTTAAATGTACTAGCCGTAAATAAAAGAGCGAAAATAAAAGCCGGAAGAACCGTCGAAACCAGTTCGTCATGCAGAGCGTGTGTGTTTTCATTCTGGAGCTTTGCCAATTATCAGTTAAATCATTTTAATTAACACTTGCCCAGGCTGTCTATGTGTATGTGCGTGTGTGTAATATGTGTGTGTGTGTGTGTGTAAATGTGATTGTGATTTATCATACTCTAGCCTTAATTGTTGCCACATGCGGCACACGAAACACGGCAGCAACACAGACGGTGACTGCAAGATTGAAGCTGCTGATGGCGTTCCAATATACCCATCATGTGGTATTGATAAATTGATTAGTAATAGCATGTGAATGTGTATGGGGAGTGTTTGCTCTTTTGATGTGTCCTACAATTACTTCATTTGTAAATTGAATGGCTCACTGTCTAACTGACTAACTGAATAACCGACTGGGTAACTTGTCAGACTTGCCAGCATTGCTGATTATGAGCGCTAATTGATTGCACTCTTGTTGTGCATGAGATATTAGCCAGCAAATGAGTGGGTTAATGGTTGTGTGAATGTGTTAACTGCGGTTAAGTTGCCTCTGTTGAGATGACGATGCTTAATATTTGCAGAGTGTTTTGTGGTGCTGGGAATTCCATTAACATTTCGCTGAATTTTTTATAGCATACTTTGTTGAGGCTTCAATTTGTAATCATTTTTTGTCATTTATTGAAACTATTTGACTGCCCAAGTTAACTATAGAGCTAATGGTGTGTAAAATCCTAAGCTCACTGCATAAATCAAATCGTGATTAACTGATTAAAAAAATGAATAATTCTTTTTTTATATTTTTGAAAATTTCAATTAATTGAACACTTCAACGAATGCTATAAAAAATCGTCCTATTTACAGCAATTTTTTTTTTGTATGGCCTAAAATAATATTCGGTTGTACTTTATTCGCTGGTTCAGCGGTTCTCCCCATAATTTTTTTTCATTGCACAGTCGCCGCAGGAGAGCATGCACTAACAAATAAATCGTGTAGCAATGGAAAATAAAAAAATAAAATAAATAACACAGAAAAATACTCTTTAACTCAATCAAAAACGAATGAGCAGGAAATTAAACAATAATAGTAAATAAAATCAGAAACGAAATGCAACAGAACGATTAAAAAAAGGAAAAAAAAATGTGTTGAAAAAGAAAGAAATTAAACAAAATACCAGTGGAAACATTTCAGGATCCGCTGACCGCTTCTTGCCCATTTCCAGTGTTTGATGATGGCCCATGACAGCAGCGGCAGCGGCGGCGGCGGCAGCAGCGGCGGCAGCGGCAGCGTTGTTTGTTGTTGCTGTTGTTGGTGTTGTTGCGCCAGCAGCGACGCCGCCGGCCGTTGGGATGGTGTTGCTGTTGTTGTGGAGGTGGTTCTGCAGTTGTTGCTGCTGTTGTTGTTGTTGCTGATGTTGTTGGTGTGCCGTAAGAGGTGAGCTCTGTGTAGTGTGTAGTGTATAGTGTGTGTGTGTGTATGTGTGTGTGTGTGTGCGTACATGTGTGTGTGTATTGGTTATGTGCATTATTTTTGTCAAGTTTGCAAAACAAAAAAAGACAGTTGAAATCAAAGTTCAAATGTTGCCCAGAGAATCAATTAAATCAAATTTATAGAAATTTTTTTTTAACAAGCATTTAAATTATGTGTCCATTAAATATGGATGAATTCCATTTGAATTATTCAAGCAGCGTTGGTGTTGGCATATTTAATAAATATGCACATTTTTTGTGGTCATTGTTTTTGTTGCATTTTTGCATAAATTAATCAAATATTTTGTGTTTCATGTGTTGTACGTAGTTTGTTGTTGTTGTTGTTGTGCGTGATTTGTGCATTTGTAAACGTTATATGTATGGTTGTTTGTGCGTGTGTGTGTGTGCGTGTGTGCGTGTGTGTGTGTGTGTGTGCGTGTGTGTAGATACCATCCATCGAAGAAGCAATTACAGTGTGGCACAGGCGAACAGATGAAATAATAGTAGAAGAGTACGAGTGTTTTTTGTTTGATAAGTAAAATAATAGTTAAAACAAAATCATAAAATCAAATAGAATTTAAAAGTTGTTCTTTTTCTGTTAAAAGATAAAGTAGATCTAAATTTAAGAAAATTATTTAAGTTTTTGGAATTTAATTACTTATTTTGGTTTTTAAATTTTAAAGACCTAAGAAATGTTTTTTTTTTTTTTAATGTTTTCCATTTTGGAATCAAATTAAATATATACAAATTGATTTTCTGTTAAAAAGCAATTGTTAATAAAAAGCTCAAAAGCGTATATTATAAATATAAATATTATATTTAATTTATAAGTAAATAATTCATTTGTAGAAGCTTGCATAAGCCAGCAGCAAAAGCTTTATAATTAAAATTAAACCCATCTTATAATATTCTAATGTATAGATATTCTAATGTATTGTATCAGCTTAAAATCTAACTTAGAAATCATAAGAATAATTATTGTTGAACGAAAGAATTAAGATTTTTATGATCTAATAATCAGTTGCCAATATAGTTATTAATTTTACGCTGTATTTAAATTGGATGAATGTAACAAAAATTGATTTGAGTACACACACATATTCGCATTTTCGTCGTTCAGTTGAGCCGCAAAAGTACTTAGAAACCAATTCGATACCTAATACCGATCGAGATACCTACCTACCGATGCATCGTTGCTTCTGCTTCTCACATAAATACTCGTTTATAAATGTCAACTAAAGCCATAAATCAATATTAAAAAAATAACACATAAACATGGGACAACATTTCGTAGAGTATGCGAGAAATTCATATACATTTTGGAGCAGTGGAGTTCAACGTTAATATGTTTAACACCGCAATTTACACAAAATGTTAACCTGAGTTGGGTCTCTGTGTGTGTTTTTTTTTTCCTTCTTTCATTTCTTTTTTTTTTTTTTTTTGTTGACCTGTGCTAATAACCAAGAACCCTCCCATAAAAATAATATAAAACATAACAGATCTTAACATACATTTAGAGTGGACACACGCCAGTCAACTCGAAAGAGTGCAAATAAAAAAATTTGCATTTAAATGGAGTCTCATAGGGAGAAGGTTTCGTGTCATTTTATTTATATTTTTTTTTTTTTCGTTGGTTGGGTTTTATTTTATTTTTTTTTTTTTGGGTTCTGTTATTGTGGTAGCTCAGGTTGCTGTGCCAGTTGCTGTTTCAGTTGCTCCCTTTAGCAGAGAACTGTTTCATGTCACCGCCAATGAATGCTATAAATGGATTAATTCGCTTGGGCAGGGCGATATGTGGTCTGTCTATGTGTGTGCTTGTGTGTGTACACCGAGTAGTTTGTGCGTGTGAGTTGTGTGCAGTGCCGGTTTTTTTTTTTTTTTTTTGGATCAACAGTGACTAGTAAAAAATGGGGAGAACGTTTGTGGTGTTGGCCAAGTCGCAGTCAGAATACGCTTTAAACTCTTTCAGATGCTTTTCAACATATGGTTTAAGTCTACCCTTCGTATAAATTACAGCTTGCAAGTATTTTAAATAGATAGGCATAAATTAATTTATTTTGCTTACTTTTCGGACCACCATTTAATTAGATCATCTTAAGTCTTACTCTCTGAGGCGCATGTACTTTTTCTGAGCCTTACATTTGGCTAGAATTGTGTGATAATTTATTTACTTTAGTCCAATAACTATGCAGGTTAAGCGCATAAGTAGTTCAGTCAATTTATATTTTATATGAAACCAAGTCGATCAAATAATCGTAATACCCCAAGGATCAGACACTATAGTCGTAAAGATTGTCAACTGAAAACAGTCGCTGGTCCGTTGTCGGTTTTCCGTTGCCGCTGGACAATTCATTGGCATGGAAATCTCTGCTTTTAGTTAATTTTCCGGTTCAAACGTTATCCTGCCGACTAATCCGTGTCGTCGTTCAGTGCGTCCTGCCAGGCAAACTGCCTGCCTGCCTGTACAGGTTGACATTTACATTTTTGGAAGCGGCAAAAAAAAAAACAAAAAAATGAAGAAAGGAAGCCTCACAGCGGGTCATGTCCTGCAGCCTGCTGGCAGCTACTTTTTGTGCTGCTGCGCTGCCCTCATGTCACGCTTACATGAGGATTATAGTTTGGGGTTGGTCCATAGTCATTTGTGTCAGGGCAGGATGGCAGGATGGCAGGATGCGAGGCACAGTTCGAACTGTAGCTTTGATTCGACAGTTGACATATATGGCTAATATTTCTTTTATATTTGTGACTTTTATTGGGGTTTCATTTAATTCGGGGAGGGACGCACAAAATGTAAAAAAATAAGTAAGAAATTAAATAAAACAAATAAATAATAATTTATGTTGATCAACACAAAATATGACAACAACTCAAATTTGTATTGCTTCAGAGGAATTTATGTGTGTGATTTACTGGGCGTATGCATAATATTTGTGTTTCTTTTTTTATCTTATAGCAAGGCTCAGCGTCTGTGTTTTTGTGGTTTATGTTGTTCCTGTTGTACTTTGTTGATGTTGTGGTGAGAACTTTATATGTATTAACTTGGGTATTGAATATAATAAGTAAACTAACAACATTTAATAAAGATTTTGATTTAGATATAATTACGAGTACATATTATAAACTTAGGTTTTCGGGGACTGCACATTAAAGTTTAGGGTTGGATAATACCAGAGTTGAATTAATAAATATTTATCATATTTTTTTCCACTCGCTGAGAGCATGCATAAATATCCCGAACGATAATACAGTTGGTATATATATATATTTATATACATATAATTACTGGAAATATACATGTATAGTATTTTGTCTAGGAACAGTTTCTAAAGGAGATTTCGAGTATAAAAAATATAATAATTGTGTGTGGACCAGTAACAGCGAGATATGATAATGATTAATATTAATAGTTACAGCTAGTTTTTAAATTGGTGGATTTGAGGGGAAGATTTGTATAACTTGATATTTATGTTTAAAATAATTATGGAATAATTCATAGCAGCGCTGCATCGGGCGTAAGTTAAGGGTAGAATTTCTTGTAGAACTCATATCATAGAGCATGATTTCATATCCCTGATTCGAGATCAAATTAAGATAATTTTTCGAACATTTTTGTTACATTAACTTTTGTGTAGACTTTATGCGAAGAAAACTCAAGATTGGAAAATATATTTGACAAAGAAAGAATAAACCGAAATCTTGGATACTGTTGACATTTTTGATATAAAGCAAAAAGTTGCATAATGTAGAAAAATGTTAACTAAATTTTGATTTTATTATATTATAAAAATACCAAAGACGAAAAGAAGTTGTACAAAGAGGCGCTAAAGAAAGCTATTTAATGTAGTTTAAGGTAATTTGCTATATAAATTAAATTATTGCTAATATGAATTATATGTAGGTGTGAACAATTAGCCAAAAGCTAAAGGCGCAAACAGGGCAACACTTAACGAACGATTTAATAACAAAATCGGTATTTTTATATGCATTTAAAACGATCAGGTGCAAAAAGATACATTACATTACATTAAACGCACAGACACACACACGCATATATAGGAAAATATTTAAGTATGTATTTTAATTTTAATTTTGTTTTTTTTTTTTTTTTTTTTTGCCGTAGCTCATAATCACATTAAGCCTGGGCCCATCAATAAAATTATGCGCTGCCCTGGTGCGTGCGAATGCGTGTGTGCATGCGTGTGTGTGATTGTGTGTGTGTGAAAGAGGCAGAGATATTCAGGCGAGAGAATGAGAGGTGCAATTTCAAAGGACAATTTGATACAATAATCACGTTTGTCGTGCCTGGTGTGGGGCTCGATTGAATTACGCCTAAAATGCTGCAACAATTTTTCACTTTATGCGATATTATGCTGCAATTATGTGTGTCATGCTTGGAGCGGGCAACGGCGCGTGCGGAGCAAGACGCGGGCGACACAGCCAGAAGGAGCCTGGCCGCAAGGACGCAAGGACATACCGTTGTTATTGTTGTTGTTCTGCACAGCGTCAAATAAATTTTCAGCCGAAAGCAATTAAGTCGCGAATTAAGTGCGGCGCATAGGCAGGACCCCATGGACGAGGCAGGACACACACACACGCACACACACACACATGCACACGCACACAAGCACACATGGAAAACGTGTGCTCACGTGTGTCTGTCTGTGTCGGAGTGTGTGGTGTGGCATGGTGTGGGTGTGGGTGTGGGTGTGGATGTGTGTGCGTTTGCCTGGCTGACTGCTGCGTGCTCAAAGTTTTAACGCGTTGTAATAAATGTTAATTTTCCCCAACGAAAATCAACATTTATGGCGTGTTTTATGCGCAGCTTCAACATATTTTCCATGTTGTTAAATGCCAGGCAACTCCAATTCCTGTCAGTCCCAATCTCGATCTCTCTCCCTCTTTCTTTCTCTGTCTCTGTCTCTGCCTCTTTGTATTTATATATGTGAGGATTATGAGCTCCCACACAAACAAATATATTTTATGCTTGCTGGTGCGTGTTGTTGTTGTTCATTTCTTTCGTTAAGTCAAATTGTTTAATATGTAATTTTGACTTTCATTGCTGTTGCTGCATTTATATATTGAGCTTCTTACAATTTAATTTAGATAACGAAAATATACGGCTAAAATGAGATTCAAGATATGATTTTGAGATGTGAATTTAAGCTGATATTTAAAATTTATATTTCTTTGCGACTTAATCAATAAAATCTATTTATTTTCATTTTACTGCTATAATCAATTAAATTAGGTTTTTAATTGTGCTCTATACTTTTATAATTTAGTTCAAACTTTTCACTATATTTAAATATTTGACTTACACAAACAAAATAAACGCCGCCTCAATTCTGTTTTTAATTAAGCGTAAAATCTGGCATGAGAATTATGAAATAGACTATTTCCAAATCAATTTACATATTTCAAAATTTAGAACTCTGTGTGTATGTTTGTTTATTACATAATGTTTATTTATACGGTAATTTGAATGCGCTAAAGTTTTAGTTGCGCTACATAAATATCATCATTTGTGTATTTATTTATTTTTTTGAATGGAGTAAATTGCAGTAAATTTATTGCCTTTGCGCAATTATTTGCGTAAAGTTAATTAAATTGTTTGCATGCGAAATTAAGTGTTGCATTAAATTTGCTTTAAATAACGGGAACGAGTGTAAGAACGCGTAAAAGTTAAACAATTGGTTAACAGTGGACTAATTAATTAAGAAACCATTGATTTTCAGTCTATTTAGATTGTGTAAAAATTATTTTCAAAACTATTTAAAGCAAATTTTATATATATAAATATATTTAAAAAACTATATCTAGTAATCTATATAAGGATATTTTTAAAGAATAAATCGTTGCATACTTTGTGGTTTTGTGTGTAAGTAAGTTTCTTAGTGCGGGTATTAAGTGTTTAATCTGCGTATATTTTTGTTCAAGTGAGTTGAACGAAGAAAATCTTCAAATTAAAAGTTTTGTGAGTTGCTCTATGAAGCAAAAAAAAAAAAAAAAAATGCATTAATAAAAAACATATATATATATATATATATTTACGAAACATAGTCATTTTTAATGATTACCGAAAATCAAAAGATAATCTTGAGCAGCTGGCGCGCACAGAACAAAATAAAAACAAAATAGAAAAATCATGAAAGTTAAGCGGCTTAACAAATAAATAAATAAAGTAAACAAAACACATTGCTCTCTCGCTCGCACACTGCTTGTGTGAAGAGAGATAGCAATTTTGGGGGCGGCGGGCGTTGGGCTTGGGAATTGAGGTTGGGTCGTGGTTTGGGTTTGGGTTTGGGTTTGGATTAAAGTAAGAGAAAGTATAAAAGTAAATATAGAAATAGCCATACCGCAGCTGCAGCAGCGACAGCGGTGGCGCGTGTTTGGGCCGCTTTTAATTGTGCCTGTAGGTGCAGGGGGGGATGAAAGTAGCGGCAGGGGTCACGTGCGCATCTGCCCTTCACGGCGTCCATGCAAACCGTTATGGAGCCATCGTCGTGCCTCGCGACGCTCTCCTGCGGATGCGCGAACCGGCATTCCGACTCAGCCCGTTTGCAGGCGCCGCGCAAGAATTCGCGACAGACCTGGAAACACATTTTTAGGTTGTTGTTTTTGTTGTCGGTTTTTGGTTTTTGGAATTTTTTTATTTTTATTATTTTTTTTTTTTTTGTATACGGCGATGTTTGTTTGTTGATGTGGTAGTTGTTGTTGTTGTTGTGTTGTTGGTTGCACAGTTGATTGCAGATTGCGGATTGCAGATTGTTTTGTAGTAGTTGTTGTTGTTGGTTGGTTGGTTGGTTGTTGGTTGTTTGTTGGCGGGCAGCAATAGCAAAAGTGGCAGCAGTTGGTGTGTGTGTGTGTGTGTATATTTGTGTAGGCGAAGTGTGTGTGTTTTTTTCATAGTTGTTGTGTGTATATCATTATTTGTTGTTGTTGGTGGCAAAAATTTCAGATTTTTGTGTGTGGTGTGTGTTGTGTGTGTGTGTGTGTGTGTGTGTGTATTGGAAATAATGGAAGGATATTCAGTAACAGTTCATTTTTGTTGTTGTTGTAGCTGTAGTTGTATATTGTTGTATACTTGAAAAGTAAAGTTAAGTATGCGGAACGCAACAACTTGTTTGAGTATTTTTTTTTGGTGTTAGAGCCGATTTTGCAGTTGCTGAAGTTGGTTGCTTGCAGAACATGCTTTCCGTATGCATATATATACAGTATATATGGTAAGTATACAAATACGTATATGCTTTATATGGTTTTGTGTTTCTTTTTTTTTCTTTCTTTTTTTTTTTTTAGCGGCTGCAGGAATTAGTTTTCTTTTTTGGCTTGACTAACGGTCTTTTTTCAGTGTAGTACTTGCCTCTTTTTCAATTTGGTTATATTTGAGCGAGCCGATTAGTTTTTGAGTTTTGCACTTGAAAATAACAGAAAAACACATACAAAAAAAAAAAACAAGGCATAGTATTTATTGAGTTAGGTAAACACAAATGCAAGGATTAAATCAAAAAAAAAAATATATTAAAGCTAAAACACTTGTTGGAAAAACACCTGTAAAAAAACGTTACTGAGAGCTTCGTATTAGACCAACAAAAGAACGAAGAAAATAGTATTTTATTCGTATTGGACCAGTAAAAGAACGGATAACCAAAATGACTATTCTACGATTAACTAATAAATTTCCTGGATTTCGTTTAAAAAGCTAAAGAAAAAAAGATTCATGAGATGTGTTTTAGTTAACATTCCAGTCAACTTAGCTACGCAGTTAACATCTCCTAGTGAAAACTCTATTTGGCAGATGCTATTTTCATATCAGTAAAATGTAAATCACCTGAAATACAGCTACAGTAATGTTGGGATTTTATGAAATAATCAAAAGTTTACAAGTATTTCAAAAGTATTTGCTAAACCCATTACGCTTACGCCCCCAACCAAAAAAAAAAAAAAAAAAAAAACAGAATACAAACCCCAAAAAACATATATTTTTAAATTGAAAGTGCAAAGAATTTGTTGATTTGCATGTTGTTTTTGTTGCTTTGGTTGCTTTATTTACAAATGCGCTGTTGGGGAATATTGTATTCAGGAAGCGCTTTTCGTAAGCTTTGCAGGGTAGCAGCCGCTTCGGTATAGCGTTTTTGTAGCCAAAAACTGTGCCCAAGTTTGGACACATCGATTGATCGATAAGGTGTACAACAGATTGTATCACATAGAAAATAAAAAAAATATTGTATATAAATAAAACTGAAGAGTAAAAGGATTATATCAACTAACGGTCAGACATAAGAAGACAATTTTGGCGATGTTAGACAAATGTTCAAATATTCAAATACGAATGTGTGTCAACGTGGTCAAATCAATTTTTACTATCAGCGAATTGTTGTTAAATATTATTTTTTATTATAATTTTTTATGTTTTTATATTTTTTTGTTGGCAGAACTGAAGAGAACTTAAAACACTGTACATGGTTTTAGTTACAATAGTTTTTGTTTTTATACATAGTTAAAATATTATGTCTTATAAAAAGTAATACATAGTAATTAAATAAATCAACTTATTGGCATGCCACAAAAAAAGAAATATATTAAAACAAGTCAAAACTAAAGCGTTTCTCTTTCGCCATTTTGTTTGTCATTGTGTACGAAAATTAACGATAAACGATAAACGATATAACGAAAAACGATAAACGAAACAACGAAACGTAAACGTAAGCATAAATTAAAGCATAATCCATATAAATGTATCATTTTATTGGCCTCTTTTATTTGCAGTCAATCAATGAATACAAATTTGTATATAAGCAAACTGTCACTCACCTCTAATCTGTCGGAGCGTGGAATTTTCTGTTGTGCCACCTGAACGGTCTGTGGCACCACCGGGCCCATCTGTGCGGCAACGGCCGCTGGATCGGGTCCCAGCAAAGTAGGCACTAAATGTCCGGGATAATAAGGACTGTATGTGTTGGCTGGTATGCCAGTCAAATATGGACTTGTGGCCTGCAAAAATGACATAAGAGAATGAAATATTGAATTAAGCCATGTCAAAACATCAATCAATCAGCAGTCATTCAGTGATAAGTAGCAGCTTAAAAGAAAAGACGAAAAGTATACCTGAATAATGTCACTTAAAGCTTTAACCGCAAGTAAAAGGAAATCATTTAGATCCGCTCGCTGGTGCGATTAATTTGTATTTTACTCTCCCATTCGCTGGCCTCTTCAGACCGATTAATTTAAAAACCACTTAAGGCTAGTGTCATTTTATTCTAGGGCAAAGGTATGCCGGATTGTTATCGTCGACTAATGTTGAATTGTTAATGGAATATCGTGTCAAGGAGTCATCGCGACGCTTATCACAGCTAAGTATCTATGCCACTTAAGTTTAAAGCACATCCCATTTGGAGCACCTCCTTTCCGGCACTTAAATTCTTGCTCGGCTAAATCATTGTAAATACGCGCTCATAAGCCTTCATGCATTTTTCAGCACACATCAATGTCAGGCACACAAAGCAGTGCTACGACTAATGGCTGTCGGCATTTAGGTCATGTTCAAAATTATTTGAGAATTAATTTTCGATTTGTTAGAAAATGTGAGTAAAAAATGCGCCATGGACTGTCGCCAACGGACACCCCATTTTTTGGAGCATGAATAATGCATGCGGCCGGCGAACCGGACAGAAACTTCTTATAAAAGTATATATATATTTTTGTACTCTCGACGCCCTCGCCTGCTTTTGGTGCTACTCATTTTGCGCATTTTGAATAGCATTTAACATTTTTCGAGGCGACGTTAAATGATATTCATAGTCGGGAGGGCGATGGAAATTGAAGTGGGATATCCGCTTATAAATATTCATATTGCGCAAACTGAATCTGTTGGGGGGGTTCACCCAGTGGGCAGCGCTTAGGAGATTCAATTAAAGTATTATGTGGTTTTGTCGTGGTAGTGCTACTTGGAGTAGCTGGAGTAGCAGTAGTAGTAGTAGTACTTACCACGGTTGGCACTTGGCCCGATATGACCGGCTGGCCAGGCGCGATGCCCATTTGTTGCATCAGTGCATTCTTGAGGGCCAGATGATTGCGTCCGTTTATCAACAGCTGATCCTTCAGATGCTGTGGTGGATGAAAATATTTGCACGGCGGTTTATCACGATTACAACGTCCCTGTAAATAGTAAAAGAAAATTGTAAGTTCTTTTTAGCTTGAATTATTTCACAGCGAAATCACAGTAATGAATGAATTGCACCCAAATTGAATGCTCCATAAGAACAACAACAGGAACACTGACAATGTACCTTTGTATTTGTATTGGTTTTTTGTTGTGATTCGTTTCCGAATCAATTTGCCCAACGCCCGTAATTTACTGAGACTGTAACTGTAGCTGTGAGCCAGTGTGCCAGGCAACTGGACACAACAGTGCAAATCTTATTGTTGCGACACCGATCCAAGAATCCATAAATTACTGCGCAAATTTATGTTAATGTGTGTGTGTTGACTGTGTTTGTGTGTTTGAGTGTTTGAGTGTCCTTGCTGGCGACTGTATAATTTATGTGGGTCAGTGTTGTTTAACGCCAACTCAAACAACAAATTGTCGAACTTAACCTTAGTGTCAAAGCATTTTATTGTGATTTAATAAATTAAATTACATGTGTTTTATTTTTATGTGACTATTTTAACTGCAATGAAGGACAATATCAATTCAAGATGAACCAAATGCTGAAGGTTGTGGATCAAACATTAGGACAAAACCTAAGTTCCTTCCTCTAATCACTGACACAAAATCAGAGGGAGATTATAGTAACCATAATATAGTTATTATTTCATTGGAAAAAATGACTCATTGCTGTCGTGCTCTCATGTCATTATTTCAAAAATATAGAATTTGTGCAATATATGGCTATAAATATCAATAATGGAATCAATTAGCTGCACGTAATGTGAAATTATTTATTAAAGTGTACATATGCACTGCTATGATTGCACATGCCACATTGCACATCAAATACTTTTGGGGCATGCAAGAGAGAAGTCAAACATGCATATTAAATCGATAAAAAGTAATTTTACTTCATTAGTACGTATAATTATGACCGCGGATTAAGCCACCACCGACCCATGGAGTTACCATTTGCTGAGCCGCGGCCTAAATGTCAACAATAATTATAATGAGCCCGGACTAATGCCTCGGGGCCAAACAAGATGGTTGGTGGCATCCAACACGGCATCCACCGCTAAAAAGATTTCATACGTGTGCTGAAATTGTTGTGCTGTGCAGACTGTCAAGCAAATATGTATGTAAATTATATTTAATTCAGAGCAAATGGAGTTAACAAATATTTACATATGCCGAGGCGAACAGCAGCGCGGACAGTTGCGGACAACACGAACAACAATGGTCCTGGTCCTGGTGCCGGGCCTTTGTTCGTGCCTCATGCGCCAGCGTAAATATTAAAAAAATAATAACACAAAAATGTGAAAACCTGAAAACCCAGCAAAATATTTATATATATATATATATGCATAAATTGATTGTTTGCTTGAACAGCCCTCGGCACGAACAGTGGCACGTATATGGCGCAATTTTCATTCCGTTGCCGCTGCTGATTTTGTTGCTCATGTTTTGTTTCGTCCTGGCATTCACAATTTATGACGCAATGAAAGCTCTGCAAGATTTATGGCGCGAACAAAATAAATGCAAAAAAACATATATATCCTTATGCGCCCTAGCCGCTAACTTACAAATAATTGTTGTTAAAAAACGTTGAGTGTGTGTGTGTGTGCACACATTTATAACATTTTATTCACTGTTGATGTTGTTTGCCAAATAACACGAATTGCAAAAATATTTGCACAAATATTTGCTTGCATATTTCTCAATGCCAATTCGGCGTGACAAATGTTGAACAAATGCAACTGAAAAAACAAGTTATGGTTGCGTGTGTGTGTGTGAGATATCCTGCACATCCGCTCTCAGGTATTAATTAGGGTTTCTTTTTCTATTTCTATTTGGGTATATAAATTGTCTAAACAACAATATGAATTGATGTTCGTTGTTGTTGTTGTTGTTGTAGTTGTTGAGCAATTTTGATCAGTAAACAAAATACATTTATTGACAGCAAGCAAACAATTTGCTTTGCACACTAAATTTCAGTTGTGAGATGCGCCTGAAAGCAGGCAATAGAAAGAGTAAAAGGATGCAAAAACAGACGCCAAAAACGCCGTTGAGTTGTGCCACACAACTCGTTGGTACTTTTGGCTTATTTGTTCGTGCTTATTGGCGCCATTGGCTGTAATTTAATGCTTCGATTGAGTTTATTCAACAACAACAACAGCAACAGCCATAGCAATAGCAATAGCAACTAGCAGCAGATTTTCATGACTGCAGCCAGTTGTATCCTTGTATCCGCATCTGTTTCTGCTGAATGTATTTGTATCTGTATCTGCTGTTGTACGAGTGTATCGCTGACTGTGCTGCCGCCTCTTTCGCTTTTGATTTTAAATGCTGTTGCAAATTGTCTATCACTTTATACAAGCATCCCCCTTACCCTCTCTCGCTCTATCTGTATCTGTTTATAGAGTTTGGCGCTTGTCGTTGTCATTATGTACACTCTGTCTCTCTTGTACTAATTTCGAATAATTAAATACAAATGTGATTTTTTACTGCCACATTTACTTGCCACGCTGGAGTTTACTTGTTGCCATCGTCGGCATGTTGCCATGCTTTCAGTATCTAGGTTAATTGCAGTTGATTGGCTGGCAGGCAAGCGGGCAGGGAGTCAGGCAGGCAAACGTTGCCATGAAGTGTATACCATTTACGACATGTGCGAATCGACCCCGGATTCAGTTATACAGTTATAGCTCTTCAAATAGGTCAGTTGGCTGTATAACTAAGCTGTGTGTTTTCTTTTGAAAGCGTAATTGTATAAAAGCTAATCGATTCAGTTCATTTGCCAGCTAAGCAGAGGTTAAAACCGCCTGCCTTATAGTCTTTATAAGATCCTTTTTGTCTAACACAATCACAATCAGCATCATTTACTTTTGAATTTTAAGATTTTTCAGACAATAACCACAAAAAAAAAAGACTTGACTTGAAAGCAATTTCGCTTGCAACTTTGGGCATGTTTTTCAGCTGGAAAATTCAATGTCATTTGAAAAATATTTAAATTGCATTTGTCATTGCAACCAAATAAGATATTATTCTTGCTTAGGTTAAAGCGGGCAAGTGGGCAACTGCATACCAAGGCTCGAGGCATGAAGCACTTTTGCACGTTTTTGCCTGTAACAGCATCGTGGCAGACATTATCTCAAATGGCAACTGTGGCACGGTGCACGCTTCCCCTAGCCTGCCTCGAGTGGTGCGGTGTCTCCTGCCGAGCTGGCCAATTTCTTTTTGGTTGAATGTGCAACACTTTCAACTAGCTGCGTTCGCTTAGTTCAGCTGCGGCAACTTCAACTTGAACTTTTTTTTTTTTTGTGAGTACTGCTACACTAAACATTTTCATGTCATTTCGATTGTAATCTGCATGACTGACTCTACGGACGCGGAAAAAAAAAGCAGAAAACGAGGAAAATGAAATGGTAGGGAAAAGCGAGTGTGAAAATTGCAAATGGTGTCCACTCACGAACACAAGCGCACAGCGAGTGAGAGACGAAGAGCTGCAAGGAAGGAAAGAGACATACAGATAGACAGACAGACTGACGGATGGACAGATGGACAGATAGCGACAGGGAGACAGACAGCATATTTGCATTGTGCGCTGTGCGTTTTACTCACTGCATTTTTATATGAACCAGCGAACCTCAAACCCCTTCTTTTTTTTGAGTACACCCTTTTTTTCTCCTTATTTATTTTTGTCACCAAAGCCTTGTGCAGATTATCCGCTTTAAATTGCAATGATTACTTTTCCTTTTTCCTTTTTTTTTTTGGGCTGATAGCTGGCATTGGCCTGGCATTTCAGAGCCATTTTTCTTCTTTGCCACGCTCGAAACAATGTTGCCGCCTGTCGTCGTCGTCTTCGTCGTCTGGCTTCCTCCTCCGCAGGCGCTGCAATGTGCTGCATGCGTTTGGAATCCGTGGGGATTGGTGGCCCGACGCATTGGTTGGAGCAGTTGGCTAAGGAATTTCTCATGTTTTCATGCCAAGTGCAAGTCAAGTCCAGTCATGTATATCGTCGCATCGTATCGCATTGCCATTGCCGACATGCGTCTGGAAGACGGAGCCACCCGAGCAAGCAGCAAGGAGCAAGGACGCCCGGCCAGAGGCACTCAACGTTTGCCCGACGACGACGACGACGACGGCAACGGCGACAACGTTGGGTATTAAATGTCATTTTGCATTTCGTGACAAGTTGGCTAATCTGACTCGAAAGTTATTTATTTCTTCTTTGTTGAGTGCAAAGGAATTTTTCTTGCACTTTGCTAGCCCGAGCATTTTACATGGCATTTTCCCCTTCGTTGTGGATGGTTTCCTTTTTTTACTTGCTTATACTCGCATTTTTTTTTGCAAGTCCTTTTGCAAAGGTTTAGCTTCTTTTCTTCAATTTGGCGACGATAGAAATCGCCTTTGAATGTTAATAAAATGGATTTTTATGCAAATTTAAAACTGTTTGGCGGTTAGTTTGGTATGCATTACAAATGCCAGAGGGTTAGACCTAGACAATGAGTTTGCCATCTAATGCAAATGCTGTTTTCTCAGCTGAAATTGATGACCAGCTCGATGGTCATTACACATTATGCAATCCTTTCAAGTTGTCGAAGGCTTACCATAAATTTTCAAGCAGCTTAAAGTGCTGCTTCGACACATAAGTTATAGTGTGATAACTATTTGAAACAGCAAAATGTAAGAACAATTTAAATATTAAAGCACTCCACTATTCAAAAAGCTGCTATTTTCAATTGGCCGGTTGCATTTTTAAGCCAGCCACTTGCCAAATTTAATGCAAACTAACGACACTACAAGCTTTGGCACTTAAGCGGCCAATACGTAAGCTACACACAAATACACACACACACACATTGCAAGTGACACTGGCAGTTGAAAACTATTTTACAGCTCTATTTTTACAGCTTGTCCATGCAGGTCACACACACACACACACACACACACACAAACTCGCACACAAGCACACAAAATGTACAGAATCAAAAAGCAATTTTCAATTGTA